CTACTCTTCCCGAGCTCCTCTCACTGACTCCAACATACCAACCTCCACTGCCCCAGTCACTGTGTATCAATCCATCTCATCCTGAGTCTTCCTCTCCTGTGCTGTCCTTCCATCCTTCCGAGTCTGATGTCTCATCCAAGGACCGGACCCTCCTGGCCACATGCCCAAAGTATATGAGATGGAGCTTCAAAATCCTAGCCTCCAAGGAGAACCCTGCTTTCACCTTCTCTAAGACAGACCTATTTGTTTTCTTGGTGGCCCGCGGTATGTTCAAAACTCTTCTCTAGCACCATAACTCAAAGACTAAGTCAACAAAAATCGATGATTTTACATTCTAGAAGCTAGAAGCCCCACATCAGTTAAAATCAGCCTAAAATCAAAGTTATTAACAAAGATTTTCCCTTTGAGCTCTGGGAGAGCATTTGTTTCCTTGACTTGTTGTGTTTCTAGCTGTTGCCACATGCTTTGTCTCATGAGCTCACATCACGTCAGCCCCTGTCCACTTTCACATAACCTTTTGGATTCTCCTGTCTTCAATTCTTTCTTATTAGGGCACAATGATTACGTCAGGTCTCTCTGGATATTACAGAATAATATTCACAGTCACGATCCTTAACATAATCATACCTGCACGGGTTCTCTTTCCACATAATGTAAAATTACTCACAAGCCATGTTGTGACAGTTTGGCTGTTGTTTTGTTGTGGTTTTTTAAAAAATATTTCTTTTGGAAAAACAGATTTAAAAATAAAAGAATTTTTTTTCTAGATTACTGAATTAATTCAAGTCTACTATAGAATATCTAAAAACTCTAATGAAAACAGTATTATCCTTAATCCTAGTTTCTTTTCTATGCATGGCACTTTTCCAACAAAATTGAAACCATCAGTTGTTACTTTTATATCCTAGTTTTTACATCTTATGCATCATGGACAATTCTCATGTGATTCATTCTTAAGATGGCCATTTTCTTGAAAGATCTAAAAGATGAAGGAAGCCAGAACTATTTGTTAAAACAGTGGAATCAGCTGGGGTTTGAGACTGGATTTGTATATCTCTTTCCCTCTCTTAGATATTTGAAATCAGTAAAGAGGCTATCTATGTACCCCATCTCCTCTATGAAAGCAAAGCTCATCTCTTCACCTGTAAGTCCTTAGGGGCCTACCCACAGCAGAGAATGCTGCAGGCAAGTATTTGTAGGAATGAATATATTCAAAACTATCAAATGAGAATATTGTTATCTTTTAAGGAATAGTTTTATTCCTCTGATTCTTCATTTTCAGATTATCAGAACACTTAATTATCCAATCAACACATTAAAACTAACACATAAACACACCACATACGCTCACTATGGCTCAAGCAAAAAGACAAAGTGAAAAAAGGAGTGTGAACTTGAAAAAGTTCAATGGATCCCAGTGGTCTTGACGTTTACAACAGTCTTGAAGTGGTGACAAAATACCGTTGATAGCATAATCCAAATTCTCATAATCACAAACTATAAATGATCTGAGACTGAAGGTTTTCCTAGAGTGCACTGATTAGTTCTTTTGTGTTTTTCCTTGTAAATATATGAATGGTAGTTGTGTGCCACTGACGCATAACAGACTCACTACTGTCCTTCCAGTGAGTTTTCAGAGGCAATAAGCGGCATGGAGGAGAATTCTGATCTCTTTCCTGCGGAGCGGCTGGTGGATTTGAATCGAGGCTCTTTGGGTTGGCTGTGCAATTCCTTACCACTAGACAACCAGAGTTCCTAGCTTTTAAGTGTGTATGTGTGTGTGTGTGTGTGTGTGTGTGTGTGCGCGCGCGTGCGCGCATATATATAATATACATATATACATACATATCTCTATCTCTATCTCTATCTCTATCTCTATCTCTCTCTATCTCTGTATCTCTAATGGGGATAAAGGTAGAAGATTGGTTTTAAACTGGGATTCTTATTTCCATATGTGGCTCACCCTTAAAGAGTGTCACTTGAAAAAAAACAAAGATCATTATTTTACATTTTGTTTTTAAGAGTCCTACATGTCACATATGCAGTGATAGGTAAAAAGATATCCTCCCACACATGAATAAAAAAAGCACAAAGCATTACAAAAAGCCATCACGCAGACAAGGCAACTTAAAAGGTGAGAGAAACCTCATCGCACAAGTGAAAACACATTTTCTCTATTATTTCCAAGATGTACTATATTTTGCTTATCATCTAATCATTATGACTCTTGTTGTTCTTGTGTTCAGGTTAGATTAACTTTAGTCTGAGCCCAGAGAAGCCCTTCATCTATCATTTGAGCCCTATGCCGGGTAACTATGTTACAACAAATGCAGGAACACACGTCAGGTTAGACTAGAGAGGCTTCATGGATTTGTGATGAAGGTGCCTGTAAACACTTGCAGGAAAAATATGCATGGATAAAACTGTGACTTAAAACATTTAGTAAGTGGGACGTGTTGAACATGATGACACCATGCTGACCTTGGGCTTAAAAACATTCCCCAGATTTTACAAGGCTGTCCAGTCTCAAATTTTTTTTTTAAAGTCTTTCAGGTTAGATACACATTTCTTTAAGGCAAAACTAAGTTCAGAAGAGTTTTGTGAATCCTTCAAAAATAAGCCTGTGACTCATTAAACACCACTTTGAAAAGCTTGCAAATATGATTCAGCTGTTGTCTATTAGCCCAATCGCTTTGCTTTCAAACTGACGGCAACTCAACATGACCTTTGGAGGACAGAGGAGGATTATCCCATAGGCTTCCAAAGCTGTAGATCTTTAAAGGAAAACCTGTATGTCCGCCTTGCACAAAGAAGCTAGTGGGGTTGAACCACTGACCTTGTACTCAGCAGTTAGGCAATTAATACTTGTGCCCCCAGGGCCCCTATTACTCCACTACCACTTAGCTTATCCTCTCACAGTGCCCACTTTATTTTCTACCTTTCCCAAATGCAAAGGGAACCATCAGGCAGTTCTCAGCTCTTGAATCAGCTGACAACACAAATATAAACAGATATAAATGTTTACATTGTCAAAAGTAAATGTTTCCAATAGTCCAAACTCCAGTGCATTTCAAAATTGGTTTGGATCAGGTACAGTTTACTGAATGGGACAAAAGAAAACAAAACACTCATTTGAAATATAAATGGGGAGGGGAATTGCATGAGTGATTTTTAACACCAAGCTGTTTCGCAGTTTTGTTTTGCTTTTCCCATTACATTTTTGGGCTAAAGGCTTTGAGAGAATACTCTTTCCTCTCACATCAACATTTTCCTCTAAGTGCGTCTGCTGGGGAATGAAAATTAAATATGTGTTATTCGTATCAATGTGGCACTTTTCCTGTGGAATTCCCATCATATCCTTTACCTAAAACCCTTCAGATGCTTGCTGTTACACTTGGCATCAGCTCCATCCTCGGCCTCAGGCACATTCTGGCCATGGCTGCTTCTCTGCTCTGACCTTCCCACCACCCTTTGTTCTCTGAGCTTTGGTCCTGCTGAACCCCTTTCAGGTAACTTCTGGAGTTCAGGAACTCCATTCCACTTCAGATTTTCCAATACCATTTTTCTGCCCATGATCCTCTCCCAGGGATTAAAGAAGAAAACCACCATGATTAAGTATTTAGTCAAAGGCACAACTTTCCCTTCTAAAATGCTGACCAGTGAGGTCATGCATGCCCCTAGCTTTAAATAAATGATGTATCTTTTTAGAGAAAAAGTACTTGTATAACCCACATCAAGTTCCTTTTATGGGTTCTAGAAATATAACTGCAGATGGAGCAACTATTCCACTAGGTTTTCTATAGAATCAGAACAATAAACAAAATGACTGGCATAGCATCGTTCTACAAAACAATTCCCAGGCCATATTCACACGCAGTATATAAATACTTCACAGCTAAATCATCCCAAGCCAATGCGGCATCTTTCAAAACTTGTCTCAATTCCCGGCATCTACGTCGCCAACAACTCTTGGATAAGTCATCAGGCTGTTTTCCCGTTTCCCTTCCCCGATCTTTTATTTCTTTATCCTGACAGTCATATGGTAAAAGAACATTCCAATATAACAGAAGGGGGGGGAAGTACATTATAAACTCAACGGCAATGATGGCCAATAGACTGTAAATAGGGAAGAAAGCACAGAGTCCAAATGAGTCCAAGCCCTGGAGAATCAGCCACCAGCAGTCACAAAAGCAGTCAGTAATTTTAACCCCAATTTCTTACACACAAAGTATTTTCCATTCCTCTTGAGTTCCCAACAGCTAAATCACCTTCAAATACAATTTTCCATATATATATATATACATATAAAATTTTTTCTTCCCCACAGTGCACAGTCAACTCCACAGTAAAAGGCTCCCAAGGAGAAATGAGCCAGTAAGAGAAACATGAACCTTGTTGCAGAGAAGACCCACTGGACACTACCCTGTCACACTGTGATGGGGAGCGGAGCCAAGGAGGCACTTCGGGGTGAGAACCTCAAAGCAGAACTCAGCACTTCTGTGCAGAAGCTGCCATCCTTAGCCAGCAAGACGCCTGAGGAAAATTAATTATTGATTTTCTTATAAATCATCTAAGGTGATTTTTGTTTGTTTTGCCTCCCAGGATGATAAACGTCTCATTTTACTTCTGTTAAATTTTTTTTCCTTCCCTTTCACTTTGTTGAGGTTAAAAGAAGCCCCTGTAAAGAGGCTTCTGAGAATAGTGGTTTTTTCCCCCCCTCAGCGTGATATGCATGGGAAAAGGCAAGTCAGTTTTCTAACCGTCACGGGATACCAAGGGATAGGACTTCGGGCAACCCCCAGGGGCCGCAGAGTAATTAGAAACACTAGGGTCAGCTGGCCAGGGAGGAAAAGCACAGTTTAGATATAATTATTTTTGTTGGCAGTAAGCCCGAGGACCGTGGCTTCCCTGGGTGGAAAGACAATCTCATCGCTGAGACCGAAGCCTGGAAGAACAACTTTCCAAATGCACCCTTCTCCACAACTTCACAGGCTGCTCACCTTCCTTCCTCCGGTGTTGATGCGAAGGGGCATCAGAAAGGGGTCGAAGATCATGTGACTGGTCTCGATGTTGACTGGGGACTGCCGTTTCCCCACAGAGCAGAGATTCCAAGCTGAGTTCACCAATCCCCAGAAAGAAGGAACTGGAAAGGAAAAGAAAGTGGAGAATTAGGTTGGGAGGATGGCTGCGGAGCTGTGAAATGCTGCTGTTGTCAGATGGCAGGAGTGGATGAAGACTCATAATGGCCCAGTGAATGCAGTAATATAGAAATCATGAAATCAAGGTTTTGCAAAGTATCCCTGGGGGTTGCTGTGCTATTTTCCTGGTCTGAGTCTTGGTAGTTCTGGCTGATGTCTCTGAGTCTTACATCCATAATCTCTTAAAAGTCAGATTTGCTTGCCCCTTGTCTATCCTTCCTGTGACCTTTCTGTATAGTCAGCATTAAGACTTTACTTGGAAAGCAGTATCATCTTGGAGGAAGGGCAACCAGGGTCTTTCTTGGAGGCGAGGATGGTGAAAGGCCATCTCACCTACTTTAGACAAGTGGCCAGGAGTGGCAAGTCCTTGGAAAAAGACATCATATTGGGAAAGGTGAAGGATCAGAGAAAGAGAGGAAGACCTTCCAAAACATAGATTGCCAATGACTGTCAAGATGAGTGTTAGCATATGAGAGCTTGTGAGGATGGTGCAGGACAGGGCAATGTCCAGAGCTGTTGTTCATACAGTCATTCTGCACTGTAGTCAACTTGATGGCACCAAACCACCACCACCACCACCACCACCACAAGAATGTAGCTCAGCTTCATGCACTTTTCAAGCCTACATGAGCTGCCTGGAACACTCAGCAATTCCTGAGCTAATGTTCTGCTTCCTAATGAGGTGGGAATGATGTGAAAATCAACCTTGCTGTATCTGCAAAGGATCTGAAGCTTTTCAAACAACGTGACACTTGGCAAATGTATAGTGCTAGCCTGTGAGCTGTCAAGACCAGAGACTGAAGTATTTTCCTAGCCCCCAGTCAATGCCAGACAGGAGTTTGGCAACTTGACTCTGCCCTTGGTTAAGCCAGCTCTGTATCATTAGCCTAATGTACCAGCAGCTGAAGAACGTGCTCATGTGATGGACAGAAAGAAATGGCGTTCAGTGCTGAGTGCAAATATCTAAAGCAAAATCTTCTAGTCACGTTCAGTGTCAAAGGAAAGCAACTATTTGAATAAATTTCAATGTCAATTTCTAGTCTTATTTTCTTCTTTTAAGAAAGTTAACAAAGGGGAAAGGGAGTCAGCATACTAATTTTGAATTCACGAAGATAAAAAATAGGCTTCTCCTACTTTTCTTGGTAGAGGGTCATCAAAACCAGAGGAGGACCTTCAGTGAAATGGACTGGCATGGTGTGACAACGAACGGTTGACACATTGTAAAAATTGTGCGAATGGACCACATGGTATTTCATGACGATGCATTTAGGGTCACCATGAGTCAGCATCAGCAGCCTTTACAATGATCAGTATTCCAGGGAGGTCTGGGACCCACAAGTCCTTCATAACTATGCTCTCATTTTGAAATGACCTAACCATTCACTCATTCATCCACCTGTGACATGCAGAGCAAGCTTCTGCTTTGTGTCCCAGCCTGAGAAAAAGCTTGACAATCGTATGATGAGCTCTGGAGAAAAAAAAACAACCTCATCCCACTAGTAAGGCATTAAATTGTGGTGGTGGTGGTGTTGTTATGTGCCGTCAAGTTGCTTGCGACTCATAGCGACCCTATGTACAACAGCCCTCGCACTGTCTCCGATACACTCATCCCGATTGCCCCAGTCACCGAATCAATCCATCTCCTACAGGGCCTTCCCCTCCTGCATCTGCCCTCCACCCTGCCAAGCATGATGTCCTTCTTCAAGGACGAGTCTCTCCTTACAACATGACCAAAGTATGTCAGACAAGGCCTCAGAATCCTTGCCCCCAAGGAGCAGCCCAGTTTAACCCTCTCCAAGATGAATCTGTTTGTTTCTTAGCAGTCCATGGTACCCTTAATACTTTTCTCCAACACCAAAGCTCAAAGGCATCAACTCTCCTTCTATCCTTACATGGTTATAAAGGAGGAGCTCGCCATCCCGTGATAGAGTGGGAGCAGAGCAGTGGAGAGGATGAGCTTAGCAGACAAAGCACAGCTTCATCAATGTGCCTCTCGCCTCAGGAGCTTGATGCAAACTTACAGCAGTCTGTTTACAGCAGTCTTTGCTTCTTCATATCATGGTTGGGGGAAATTGAGGCAGCAGGAGAATCTAGCAAGTGCTTGTCAGAGACACTATATGTTGTGCTGTTACATGCTGTCAAGATGCCTGTGACTTATAGCGACCCTATGTACAACAGCTCTGAACACTGCTCTATCCTAAGCCAACCTTATTCTCTCTCACAAATCTACTCCCATTACCTCAGTCACTAAATCAATCCATCTCATCAAGGGTCTTCCTTCTTATCCTGCACTGTTCCTCCACCCTCCCAAACATGACGTCTCTCTCCAAGGACTGGTCCCCTCCTTGAAACATGCCCAACCAAAGTATGTCAGATGGAGCTTCAGAATCCTTGCCTCCAAGGAGCAGCCTGGTTTCACCCTATCCAGGACGAACATGTTTATAGCAGTCCATGGTATAGTCAGTATTATTCTCCAACACCACAGCTCAAAGGCATCAATTCTTCTGCCATCCCTAGTCATTGTCCAGCTTTCTGATGCACAGCATATAATTGTGAAGACCTAGATTAGGCACATTTCAGTCTCCAGATTGACAACGTTGCTCTTCAGTACTCTGGAGATGTCTCTGACAGCATCCTTTCCCAATGCAATTCATCTTTTGATTTCCTAGCTGCTTGTACCAAGAGTGTTGACTGTGGATACTGTATTTGAGATTCAATAAAAAAACTTGGCCAGATGGTACCTCAAGTTCTATCTAAATGCAACCTTCTAAGACATTATTGTTATAGGCAATTATTGAGCAAGCAAAAAATAATTTTAAAGGACTGTTTTAACTCCATGCTAAGATGAGTCATTATAAAATATGGGATATGTTTGATTGGATCAAGCTTATAAGCACCTGGTGGCTCTACTCCTTCTAGTTTTGAGCATTTTTCAATTGGCTTTGCGGCTGTGACCTTGATGCCCAAAACAGCTACAATGGCCAGAGAGTCAGAGAGAGAAAAAGAGTAGAGGTAGCAATAAAGACAAGAGTCTGGGAAGAAACAGGTATATCTTCTTCCTTGGCACTCCCATTTCTCATCATTTTTTGTGTCAAGCTATCATTGTAAAAGCGATCAATATCTTTCAAAGACATGGCATTCTAACAAAATGATGGCATTTACGGACGTTCTAGTATTAAGAATGCACATTTAGCAAGAAAAGCTTTTCAAACAGACCTATGTCAGCAGCCAGTCAGCCGGACTATAGGGTTTAACAAACACAGCTGCATTTCTCTGGCTTCAACTGCCCGAGTGGCCTGTCTTGACTGAGGTAATGAAGGCTTAGTTCAGAGTATTGAAAAGTGGTTTGTAGAACAGAGATGGAATCCTGCAGGGAGAGGGGCTGCTTGGGAAGCTTAAGGACAGAATGGAGAGGGTCCACTGCAGAGAACCAAACTGAATCAGCCAGCCCTAAGACAATGACTTAATCTTACATCCTTGAATAAAGGGGGGGGAATGACGTCGCAGTCAGTAACATGCACAAAAAAGTTAGGGAGCTCTGGTGGCCTACTGGCAAGAAGCAGCCCTTCAATCCCAGAGGTATGTAGTTCAAATCCACCAGATGCTTTGCTGGAGAATGAGGGGAAATCTCCTCCTGTACAAATCAGATCCAATTTGATGGTACACACACACAAAAATAATAAAATACTTTTTTTAAAAAAAGCTACTATAGCATGCCTATGAAAACAATGGGTGAGGGAGTTGTGCTAACAAAAATATATCAATGACACATAATTTAATACACTAAAATATAATAAAATACATCATGTTTACACTACTATGTGAAAACACGGTAGTTGTGGGACCTCAGACTTTTATGCTTTGGATCAGTTGTTTTTTTAAGGCCTTTGGTTAGACAAATAATGACCCTCCAAAGGCATCCACTTCATAATCCTCAAAATCTATTTATTATGTTCCTTTACATGGCAAAAGGGACACTACAGGTGTGACTAATAAGGCCGTTGTCATGGGGGAGTTTATTCTCGATTATTCAAACGGTATTTACCAAGACCCTTGGGGAAGGCAACAGGATCAGAGTCAGAGAGAAACAAAATAAATTTAAACACAGAGACCAGAAGGTAAACAAGATGCTGGTTTTGAAGATACAGGAAGAGCCAAGGAATATGGTCAGTCGGAAAGATAAGGAAACCAATTGTCAGAAGGGCTCATCATCCCAGACCCTTTTCTTTTGTTTGAAGTCACGAAGTTTGTGGTAATTTGTTACAGCGGCAATAGGAAGTGAATGGAGACCCTGCCATCTTTGAAACTCTAAGAGCCTCTTTTGACAGTCAGGACATTGCTGCTGTCTGGGGGCGCCTTCTCTGGAAGGCAGCTGTGGGATAAATATAGTTACAGCTGGTGCACATTGCATTTCATCTCCTCCCATGAAAATCATTAGCAAAAATAATTCCAGCCCCATAAATGGATTGCAAGACTGTCGTTAAAGGGCAATGTGGATAGTCAAATGCGGCAGTGCTTTTCCAATCAACTTCACACCCAGAACGAAGTTCCCCTCCATCCCACAAACACCCCCACACAAACAGCAAAAACTTTATGGGAACATCTGTCTTTGCTTTTATTGGGCATGGGATTCTTTATGACAACCCGTTTCGGGGTTTTATATCCCCACTTCACTCTCAAGGCCCATGTGCCTGGTTCTAACCACCTGCTCAGTCAATTGAGAAACACTCTCTTCTGCTCAGCTGTGTCCCTCGTTAGCTCCATTCCTGAAGGCATTTTCCAAGTTTATTCACTAGATTGGAGATTATATTTCAGCCATAAATTAATAGCCTTTCAGAGACAGAAGCCACTTTAGAATCACCCATTCTCAATGCATGCTGGGATTAAGGCCTACACCTAAAAAGCCAAGTTCATTAAAGTTCAAGGCCTCTGGGAGGAGGGTAGA